TATCTAACACGAAGATCCTTTCCCCTCTGAGAAGGAGAGCTAGCATTCATTTTGACCTTGCAAAGACCTGCCGCAAAAATCAGGTGGTGTGTTGACAGATCATGTAGACCTACCGATAACCGAGTGTTCATTGCATGAAAGAAAATAAGTGGGTGAATCATGAGGGACACGGAGTTGGAAAATTACGTTTTATATTAATTCTCATCCTCCTGTGCCGATTTTTTTTCACTGACACCAAAGATAGATATCAATATCTAAATATCTATATGTAGAACTGATATTTGATCTTCCTGTAATTCAAATACATCCAACATTATTAGTAACACCAAATTCATTCTATTAACCACAGTTAATTGGCAAATCAAAAAAAAAAAAGGAATACTTCACACAAAAATAAATGTTATTTACTCTTGATTCGGTCAGCAGTTTCAAGTTAACAGCTCACTGGAGGGGAAGATTATCAATAAAATACATCTTCAATTTCAGCCCGTTCCTCACAGGAAGCTATTATAAGGTTTCAAAAGACAGGGACTGTGTTGTATTGCAAACGGCCACCAAGCAAAATTAACAAGGCAGCTGAAAAGACTCCATGTACTGTTTTAATTACTTGCTGAATTGCTGCCTAGTGTGTAAACCATTATTTGGCTTCTTGTGCCCTCTGCCAAGTGTGGTAAACTATGGTGCTGATTACCGCACAACCGGCTACTGGCAAAAGCACACAAGCCCTGAGCCGGGTGAATGTAGCTAACCTCACTCGCTTGCGTTTTGGCCCCAAAATAAATACAAAACTGCACAATGGCAGCAGATGCCTGTCTGATAGCGAAATACAGACATGCTTGCATCCTTGGCACACACAGCTCGATGTTGAGGGTGACCCAGACTAATGTGTGTTGATAAATAAGACAGACTCTCTGTCTACATTATTTAATCCTGGGGAGCGGATGGCCTTGTTTTCACAGTGAAAGCTTGTTCCCTGTACACTTAAAGAACAGCCTCTGCGAATCGAGTCTCTCATACAGACTAAAAAGACCACAGAAGGGATGGAGTCCAACGCTACTGTACATGAAAAGGTTTTTTGTTTGATGCAAACTAGACTTCTTCGGTGATGTGCTCTTGCTTTTATAGAATTAATCAGTAGACTGTACGGGTGGGCGGTATGACCAAAACCTTATATCACTGTATGAGTAATTGTATATCATGGTAATCGTATATATAATGATAGAGTTATTTCTGCAATATTGAAACCACTGTAGCTCAAACAGTATGGCACTAGTATTGCCAAGGTCATGGGTATGATTCCCAGGGAAGCCATTAACCGACAAAAGGTAAACCTGAATACAATTTAAATCGCTTTAAATAAACGTGTCTAATGTAAAATAAAATAAAAAATCATAAAAATTAAATCATGCCTATAATGAAATGTAGGGTGAATTAATTAATTAATATAATGCAAGCTATTAATAAATACAAGTTATTATAGATGCTATAAAGATGAATATTTGGTTAGCATTAATAAAACAAACAAATTAAGTTATTTAAAAATACAAATATTATAAACAATGAATCAGTGAATCAAAGAAATAATAAGTTATTTTCATATACTATAAAATACAATTGCACATTTTGGTTTGCTTTATTCAAGTGATTGGACAAATTAATGAATAAATGAATACAAATTATTATATAAAATACAATACAAAATAAATGGGGTTGATTTTAATACAACAATAACAACTACAGCTCGATATACTGACTGAATGTTCTTTTTTTGAAATATATGTTTCTGGATAGATGGCAAAAAAAATTATTTAAAAAAAAATTCTAAAGAAAAGAACACTGAAAGCACCCATCTGTGAGAGTTTGCAGAGTATATTATTTTTGCTTGCTATAGTTTTTTGCTTGGTGTCAGATTCTTCAAACCACAACAAGGATATACCGCAGTATAAACGCTACCGCAGAATCTCCTCCAGCCCTGCAAGACTGTGGTACTGTACAAATAAAAGTAAAAGCCTGCTTTCATCATCTCCAGGCATATGAAAGCATCCCGTTAATGAGGAACACTTGTGCCTGTGTGCAGTTCTGCTTATGTGCCTTTTAAAATGGTAACCGTATTGATTTTAAGAGCTCCCAGCAGGCCCGTGTTAATGCTGTATATATATACGGCACAGAAGCGGTGGCGATAATACAGCGTCTGACCAGCACTGCAGTTTCTGCACCGCTCATGCAACTGGGTTGAGATCTCATTAGCATGCCTGATGCAGATGCAAGAGAAAAGATGCACACTTGCACACTGCTGATATATCGCTTTGGCCTAGATTTCCATTGTGGCGAGGGCAGCCTTAATTGATACTGACGGCCCTCTTAGCTTTGAGGGTAAAAGCCTGCAAAATTTCACCTGGGAGGTTTGACAAGGGCACGGCGATGGAGACCACTTCCCACTCACAGTCTGGGAATATTGTTAAATATGAAAAGACACGCGTGTAATTAACCGCCACCATTTGATGAGTCTCTGCTAATTCTTCAGAGGATTTGTTATATCAATACTTAACTAGAAATAATAATTACACTGTGACTCTTGATTATCTATGCATTTTTTTGAATACTCAAATACTCCTCTGTGTTTGATAAATCAGTCTTCCGATGGATAATCCCTGGAGTAAAAGCAAGGATTTAAGGCGTACGAAAACCAATTGTTCCTTTTAATATTGTCCTTTACCAGTGTCAAATCCAATTTGCTCTATCAACTTTCAGGAGGATTTATTTTTCTGTTCTTAACGTCTCCCCATCCCACATATCTCTCTTCTTTTGAAGCGCCGGAATATTTCATGTTAATTCGAAACGTACTTGCTGGACTCCGTCACGCTGGCGTTCTCTCTGTACAGAGCAAAGCGCCGCTTCCTGCCGACTCCACAGTGGGTAACCTGAGACTGCATTAAGTGAAAAGCCAAGCGTGAGCTGCCACGGTCTCTGTCCTCGCTGCCTGTTCAATTAGAAGGAGAAACGGACCAAATATATTTCTGTATGAAGTCATGCAGATTTGGCCTCGGGTTTAACACCGTACCGCGTTATGACAGACTGTGACTTCTCCAAAGGGCTGAGACATTGCTGAGTGGCCCTAATTAGTCTACATATGTCACCTAGAACAGTTTCTATGGCAAATTGCTCTCCCATGCTCCAACACATGTCCATGTTTTCATCAAATTAGTACGGGAATATGCTACACATGCATACAGATCGTACACAGCTAAAATTACTAATGCAAACACATAGTTCTGATCATTTTCTGGCGAAATACATCAGACCGAAAGGCTATGATATGATTTACTGGTGCTTTGTATTGGATTTCACATAATAATACGGATATAAAATGAAAGATGTCTCACGGTGATAATGCTGGCATGATTTAGTGGATTATTACTTTGGTAGGTAGCATGATTTTCATTTATTATAACTAGATTTTCCCCCATTTTGTTTAGCTACATTTTCAGTATTAAAAAGGTTAAAAGAAACCATTTAATATGAATGAAGCTGACATCAGGATACAAATAATGTGCTATGCTTATCTTTCCATCGCATATTTGAGATGCTTTTTTTTGCATATCAATCCTTTATTTACAGTTAAAATAAGTTTTTTTCTAAACAGCTGTAAACATGCAAACCCTCTGAACCTGATCTAATGAGATCTACATCCAAAGATATCTCATTAGCTATAAATTCTCAAGGCATTTTAAAAGGCTAATGTGCTGTTATACCAGACCATCTGAAACACACCACTGTAAAAGTGGTGTTTCAGTGCTTCATTAAAGTCGGCACGAAATGAAAATTCAGCCTGTTATAGAACCCATTCCTTTTTTTGTTTTTTTGTTTTTTGACCTCATCATTTTAAAATACCTTTTTTCACCTATTTTAGTGCTACACCCACATCTAAATCAATCAACAACCGATGCATAGAAGTAAGTCTGTTCCTGTTACACCTGAATGCATGTCACAATATGGAAGAAAAGATCTGCCGCAACTTACGTTTTATCACAACTTCAAAGGAATGGTTCATTTTTTTACTCACCATCAAGTCATTCCAAACCTGTATGACTTTCTCTTCTAAAGAATGCAAAAGGTGATTTTTTAAAGAACATCCTGGCCACTCTTCTTAACATAATGAAAGTTAACGAGACCTGAGTTTGTCAAGTAGCAAAATGGTAAAAAAAAAAAAAAGGCACCACAAATGCTTCACAGATGTGGTCCATCTGACTTGCATGCTATATTCATAGACTTCTAAAGTCATATAATAGCTTTGTGTGCAGAACGCACAATTTAACTCCTTGAAAATTGACATCTGCCCTAAACTTCAACTCACTGGTTCACTGATCAGGTCACAGTGGATATCAGTTCACTGGAGAGGAAGATTATCACTGAATATAGCTTAGTCTTAATTTCAGTCTGTTCCTCACACAAAGCTCCCATATGCCTTCAGAAGACTTGAAACATAGTACACAATTCATATGAACCACTTTTAAGCTGCTTTTGCACCCTTTTCAAATCTTCAAAATCCCATTCATTGTAACTGAATAGAAAAGAGCGACCAGAATATTGTTCGAAATGTCTCCTTTTGTGTTCCACAAAAGAACGAAAATCACCCTCATTTTGTTCCAAACCCATGCGATGGCAGAATTTCCATGTTTGGCTGAGCAATTCCTTGAAATCACCCAACTTTCCTAAAAATTTCAACACCGTGCTGCAGTTACACTATAGATATTGCAAAAATTTTTGCAGTCAAACTGCAGTTTAAGAGCAGAGGAAGAAGATAAGACAAACACTCAACCAAACGATTAGAAAACAGGCAGACCAGATCAGATAATGGTTAATAATTTCCAACTTCTGAGCCCTTGAGTTCCATAAAATCAAACATTTTACCTTGACAGCTAAGTGCGTTATCCAGTAAGGCATTGTGATAAGAACATCTTCAAGTTATGTAAGGCCTTGAAGCACATCACCTTGCTTACCTTCAGTGCAGTATTTCCCTTTGTAGCCAGTATTAGAGCAATCGCACAGCACCTCGCTGTCATGAATGGAGCAGCGTCCTCCGTTGCTGCAGGGGTTTTGTTTAGTACACAGGTATTCCAGATCGTTCTTCACGCTCTGACTGTCCAGGAGAGCAGGAGGAGTCTCTCCTAACTTCAAGTTGGCGATCAGGCCTCGGAAAGGCGGCTCGTACTTGACCGTGCTGGACGTGAGGGCAGAGAGACGCACATCTGGTGGGATCCCACCCACGTACAAGTCGCTAGCCACCATCATTTCCCTTCGCTTGGACTTCACCTCCACCACTTTGCTCTCCCCGTCCATTGCCAGCATGGTCTCACGGTAATTCCTCGTGAGCAGCACGCGATGCCAGCGTTCGTCGTTGACGTGTGTCTCCATGTGCAATGAGGCTGGCTCACCGCAGTGGATGGCGAAGCGCAACTGCAGACGGCCGTCGTTGATCAAGAGCTCCAGGAAGTCGCAGTTGCCGCCATCGTCCAGGTACAGCACCACAGCTTTGCTGATGTTCGTCTTCATGGTGAAGCTCAGCTCTCCGGTGGCTCCCGCCTCCCAGGGTCCATAGCGAACCCACTGACCGGGCAGACCGTCGAACTCCAGAGCCGTGGTGACTGCAATGGCCACCATGAGCCCCAGCCAAACGGAGGCCCGCGAGAACTTCGCGCTGCACCTCCACTTCCGTGTCATCATCTTCCAAGCGTGCTCCTAATCCTCCTTTTCTAATGTTCCGTTTCTCTTAATCCACTGCAGAGGAGAGATTTATTTCCAGTCTAGCGTATTATTTTATCTGGCCTTTCCAAAATAGCGCTGCAGAAATAGCAAGGTTCCAGTTTTCTAAAAACCTCCTAATATTTTAGAGTTTCTTTTCACTTGATTCTCCATCTTGATTCTCTTCTGAGTAACTCCATTGAGGAACACTTCTGAAAGACCGTGTATAAAAAATAAAAAAAAACTCACACGGTACTTAGCGCTTTGAAATCTAAAACTGCCCTAAAAATCTAGTTGACTCGACATGTTAAAAGACCGATTTATGCATCTCACCCTCTGGTGAAAGTAGGATTACTGCTGCGGTTGTATTTTTCGTTTTGTAGATAGTAGGTCAAATACATGATTTCTTTCCCTAGAAATCCTCAGCTTCCTTTAGAGAAGTGCATCTGCATTCCACCAGTAAGTCGTCACCACCACAAATCCTCTGACCAGGCCTCTGAAAGTTTAAAAATAAAACAGACAGTATGTTAATTTATGACCAAGCTCAAATGCACTCCTAAATTTAGTCTGTGACTCACATCAAAGTACAATAATTTCTGGCCTTTAGTTGTGAATTTCTATTACGAGGCCAGTTTGATCACAAAATCAAGACCTGGCAGTGTGATTCCCTCGGCTGAGAATCTTTGAGCATAATGAAATCAATCTTTAATGCACTTTGCAGTGTAACAGACTGGGCTAGTTGACAGATACCCTCATTCGCTTTGCAAATTTGCCGATCAGTTCACAGATGAATATTCACAAACCAGCTCGCAGCTAGTGTTTTAAACAGCTCTGAGCCCCCTGAAGCCCTCTCAGTCAATCAACACCTCTCTCTTTTACCCATATAGTGGCTGAGCATAGTAGTGCACTAGTGACAGCGTCTGACAGCAGAGGATGACCGATAATAAGACAGAATGGGAGCGTAGTATGGGCATCAGGTGAGGAGTGTAAATGATGCATGTTTATTAATGAGGAGTATGCAGCGGCATGATCACACCACACTCCTTTTATTTGTGTGCGCTGTATGTGTGCCGAATTCATTAAAGGGAATATGCAAATCTGTGATAACTGCTCAATGCTTACAGCAAATCAACAGTAACGTCTGATATTGCGGGTCAGTTTTGAGTGCTAGGCTGTAGAGTTTGCAGCAGAATACTGCAATATACGGCACACTGTAGGAATGTCCTACATGTCCATAACTGAATCATCATTTTATGAATTACTACTTGATCAACAGAAAACACAAAATAGCTATTTTAAAAAAAAAAAGTGTAATACTTGGTTTCCATGGAATAGTTTGATGTAAACTGATGCAAGTATTTCACAAAGTTTCGTGAATATAGTATACATTTATAAATAACAAATCCCAACAATCAATCAGTAAATCAATGAATCAATCAGTCAATCAATGTTAGTTGTTATTGAAATAAATAAATAAATAAATAAATGGCTGTCAAATTGATTAATCGTGATTAATTGCATCCAAAATAAAAGTTTGTGTTTACATAATACATGTGTGTGTACTGTGTATATTTATATATACATAAAAACACACACACACACACACACACACACACACACACGGGTCAAAGACGTTAAGATGTCTGCATCAAAAGAAATTTACAAAAGGGATTTTATGTCCATAGAAAGCACATTAAATGTAAGTAAAGTGTCTACTTTTAAGGTTTTAAAATAGTTTTTGGAGGATAAAATGTCAAAATTTGGTTGAAATAATGTTACATTGTCATTCAGTGTATCACAATATTTATGTAAAAATTCAAAGGACATGCTTATTCTGACGTGTACATATTAAAATATATAAAAGAATAAGGGAGCATATTAAATTTTATTGTGTTTTTAAATTAGTAAAAAATTCTTACTGACAAATGGGCAAAACGCATATTTATTACAAGTAAGTAGTATTTGGGGTAAAACGAATTAGTCTTTTAATATGTCATAAACTGATTCTTGTAGTAAATATGCCTCAAAAGATTGTAACACTGAATTACATTTTAGTGGCTGTTTTCTGTAAATCATGGTAAAAATTTATATTTATTTTTTGCTTAGAAAAAAAACTATTTAATTAAACAGGACACTTTCTAATGTACTGAAAACAACAACAACAACAACAATTTAAAGCTGTATTACACTTATTGTTTTTATGCTTAAACCCTTTTTCGTCTTTGACCCACATACATGTATACATTTAAGAAATACATTGTAACGGTGGTGGCCCCCCAAAGTTAAATAGTAGTATTTAAGGTAAGTAATTAAATTGTTCGGGTGCCAGACAAGGCAAAGAATTCAAAAATTTGCCAAGTCAAAAGAGTTATTTTTTTTTTATTCTATCAATTCCCGGTAAAGCTAAAAAAAAAACACCGATACATAAATTGCCACCTGCACACTAACACACCGGAAAAAATACAAATCGATTAAACAACACCCTTCACAAAAACATTTCTTTTTAAGTCAGCAGACTATTATTTAATTATATGCCCAAAAAATATATATATTATATATATATAATTTATATATTTATATTTCTGTATAAAATAAATCCTATATAAATAAAATAAATATATATACACACATATTTCTTAAACGTTTGTGTATACATATAAATATACACAGTACACAGACGTTTTAATTGTAAACACAAACCTTTATTTTGGATGCGATTAATCGCAATTAATCGGTTTGACTGCCCTAAAATAAATAAATAAAACCTCATCATCTTCATCAAGCCTAACTTATATACAAGATGACAAATGACTTGAAATATCCATTAAAATATCCATGGCCCAGCACTGTTTCAGTGAATGAAAGAAATGCTTCCATGGTCAAAATGAAACAAACAGCTTGTTTTCCACGACTACATAGTATAAAAGCAAATGCACCATACAATAATAATGATAATAATAATAGTTACCTTTAAAATAAATAAATAAATAAATAGTTCTTATTACTATAAATAAATAAAATAAAAATCATCATCGTTATCATCATGCATAATTTATGTACAAGATGACAAATGACTTAATTAAAATAGCCAGTGAATGACAGAATTAATGCTGACATGATCAAATTGAAGCAGCTTGCTTTCCATGAATGTAATATAAAAGCAATCGCACCACACAATAATAATAATAATAATAATAATAATAAATTGTCAATATACTACTACTACTACTACTACTGAAATCAATCAATCAATCAGACCTAATTTACACATATAATGACAAAGACTTAATTAAAATACCCACAGAGCACTATTTCAGTGGTTAGAGAATAAGACAGATGAATAAGGTAACAAGTTAAGGGAATAAGACATAAGAAAGGTTTTTAAGATGAATTACCACGCACAAATGTGGCGTAACTGCTCAGTAAATTTGGCCCAGGAAAACAGATCACTGTGCAGCAGGGTGCCATACAGAGCTCAGCATCCATAAATAAAGGTGCTTGCATGGCGGAAGAGAAGATATTGAAGCAATATGCACTCCGCGAGCGAAGAAAAATTAATTTGATCACACAAAACGCGCGCTTAATTTCTCATTTGCTTCGAATTAATTACTGTGATCGTGCACAAGAGGACTTTTCAAAAGACCTTGAAAGTGATAACAGCTTTTCTGCCTTTCAAAACCTGGCCTTAAATAATACTCTCCACTCGTTGGAGAAAGAGCATAAGGAAAAATAGAAGGGTCTATTAGGTCGTTTTCTGCGAATAGTAGACGGGGAGGAAAAGATAAATTAAAAGGCCTGTTTTGAAAGGCTAACAACGGCACAGAATCTGTGGAAAACCTTCAAAAAGGTCTTGTGAAAGATTACGTTCTCTTATGTTTGTCAAAAGATTAGTGACTACATTTCTTAATAGCCGTTCCATACAGCATGCAGCACTGTGCAATAAAGCCAATGTGCACACATGGGACGGGAGGGGAGAGAAGAAATATGAAGCATAATTGGAATGAAAACACTCAATCCTATGCTATTCCAAATATATCAGCCATGTCATTTCCGCTTTAACGCAGCAGACAGACCGTTCTCCCCGCAGAAGGATCATTTTGTACCGCTGCATTGCATGCATTGTTCTGGAAGTGACAGTGACTTTATTGTCTGTAAGTAACAAAATGACATAAATGTAGTGTCTCTCAAAGCGACCCATCTCGCACTTTTTCAGCACATGCCAAAGTGTCTCGGGTGCGTGGCGTGCTCATTTGTAACCGAACAGGTCTTGCTAAACATATGCAGGTTGGGAAACCAGTTGGAAATCCAAATAGAAAGCATTCCTCTCTTTCTCCCGGTACGATCATTGTCATTAAGGTCATTATCTGCCCTTGAGCGTGATGCATGACTACAACACAGCGCATAACAATGAAGAGAGCAGGAGAGGCGGCCCTGACAAAGTGTTTGGCATGTTCCTGTCCACTCGTGACAGTGAGAAAACCCACTCTGAATTGTTATCTTCCCCCTAATGATGTTTTAGTGCAGATTTAAGCACTCAACACTTGCTGATGAAAGCCCGGTTCCCAGGTCAGTGTGCTATCTGAGCTAGAACCAAATAGAATTAGCCATGCTTTCTGCTCTTACATTGGAGAGTAATGGACAGCATAAGGATGCACTGAGGGCACTTTAGAAAGCGAGTCCGTGGCGTGAATTTACTATTAGCACATACGCAACAAAACAGCCACTGAATACATGAGCATCTTTTGTCAAGCTTATATTTAAAGATCACACTACGAACTAGCACATTCATATTCAATTAAGCACTGCGGTTCTGCCTCACATTATTTCCTCTTGATGTTTCTTTTAATTAGCCAAATCAAATCGACATGATTAAAGACAGAGTCCTCCTCCGCCACCTACCCACACGGAATGGCAGTTCTGGAAAAAATCTGCCCCCTTTTGTAGCTACAGAACAGCATCCGGGGCTAAGCAG